GTAGACCTCCCGTAACTGTCGCCATTTTCGTGGGCTGCTGGTGGGTCCAGCGGAGTGAGGCACCGCGCAGACCTGAGGTAGACCTCGCCGTAACTGGGGGGCTGCGATCTGCGAAACTGTCGCCACTTTCGAGGGCTGCTGGTGGGTCCGGGGGGGTGAGGGGCTGCGATCTGCGAAGCTGTCGCCACTTTCGAGGGCTGCTGGTGGGTCCAGCGGAGTGAGGCACCGCGCAGACCTGAGGTAGACCTCACCGTCTCTGGGGGCTGCGATCTGCGAAACTGTCGCCGCATTCGTGGGCTGCTGGTGGGCCCGCCACTTTCGAAGGCTGCCGGTGGGTCCAGCGGAGTGAGGCACCGCGCGGACCTGAGCGGGACCTTGCCGTTCCTGAGCGGCCATGTCATGAGTTGCTGCCCCGCCGACGTGTCAAGCCCCTTGCCCACAGTCTCCTTTTGGACCTTGCGTCTTCCTTAGTGACTCAGGGGTTCACTTAAAAAACGTCATTTTCCCCTTGATAGGGAACCTGCGAACCTGCCGAATGCCGCTCGCAGAAGTATATGCATCCATGTCACGTCGCCGCCTTCTCGTCAAATCTCCCAAGCTACTCCTGCCCCGCATTGCGCAGGGGTTGGGTACGTCGCCAGGGTATTTGTTTTGACCTTGGCCCTAAATCCGCCTGTAGGTGGAGGGTTTCTCCGAAGGGCTTCGGCGACCCGTCCTCCTCTCTCCTCTCTCCTCCTCCTCCTCGTCCTCCTCCTCCTCCTCCTCCTCCTCCTCCTCCTCCTCCTCCTCCTCCTCCTCCTCCTCCAAGCCCTCCTCCTCCAAGCCCTCCCCTCGTGTCGCCTACGGCCCTGGGGGAAACCGTCCACCTGTAGGAGGGCATGCCCGACCTAACAGTGGGCGCGGAAGAACCAGGACCGCCTTTGGGGGGTTCAGAGGGAGGGGGCTCCGCTGTTCGGGCCGTCTCTCGCGGCTCTTGGCCGTGGGTCGCGTTCGCGGCCGAGGCTCTCCGTCAGAGAAGGCCCCCGCGAGGAGGATGGAGGAGGAGGAAGAGGAGGAGGAGGAGGAGGAGGAGGTGGAGGAGGAGGAGATGGAGGAGGAGCAGGAGGAGGAGGAGGAGGAGGAGGAGGAGGAGGAGGAGGAAGAGGAAGGACGAGGAGGAGGAGGAGGAGGAGGAGGAGGAGGAGAAGGAGGGAGGAGGAGGAGGAGGAGGAGGAGGTGGAGGAGGGGGAGGAGGAGGAGGAGGAGGAGGAGGAGGAGGAGGAGGAGGTGGAGGAGGAGGAGGAGGAGGAGGGGGGTTCTGAGGAGGAGGAGAAGGAGGAGGAGGAGGGGGGTTTGCTTTCTCAAGCCAGGGGAGGGAGGAATGCCGCCACAACGGGAAGCGGATCCTGAGTTTTTTTTAGTTTTTTGGCCAGCGTGGCCTTCCAGGGGCTTTCGTTCTTCATACAGCGTTCCTCATTGTAGCGGCACGGCTGCAACCATCAGTTTCTGAACCATTCGAAAAAGATTAATTACCATGCGAGGTACCCAAGCCAATTGCAACGACTGGCAACGTTTCTAATGGACGTTGACGTGGCAGGGACCGCTTTTTTGTCGCGAGAGCTACATGGGAGACTCACGCGTCGCGGCATCCGCAGGGCACCGATGGGAGGGCGAGGGCGGAATGGACGGAGGTGGGCCCCGGGCCCGAAGGGGGGGCGGGGACTACGCGGAAGCGGAGGATGCGGGGAGGGCGAAATGCCGCCGAGGCAGCGGCAGGAGGAAGGGCCAGGAGGAAAGGGGCGACGACAGAGCAGGAAGGGGAAAGCAGGGGGCCCCGTGCAAAGTCCCACTCGGGAGCAGCGGCGTCCCCGAACGGTTGCTTCTCACCAGTGGAGACACCGAGCCATCCCGAGCTTCGCAGCCCGCTGCTCGGCCCAGTCATGGCGCGTTTCAACCAGCGCGGGAGTTCTACGCGTGCGGGCGTGCCGCCAGAATCCGCGGGCGCCCTGCGGGTTTACGTAGGGTTCAGGGTTAGGGTTCAGGGTTCAGGGGCCCCGCATCAGCAGGAGATTCACGACCTCTGTGGCCCTGGGAAGCATCACCTGGAAATGCAGCCTCAGGCCGCCCACGTCGCCCGCGTCCTCCTCCTCCTCCTCCTTTCCTTCCTCCTCCTCCTCCTCCTCCTCCTCCTCCTCCTTCCCTTTCTCCTCCTCATCCTTTCCTCGCACAGGTTTGACCTGCCCCGACCGGTGAGGCGTTACTCTCGCAGATCGCAGCACCTATCGACGCCGCGGTCTCATGTGATCTGCATCGGGTGTCGGTCCGCTGGACCTCCAAAAAGCCAACGAATGTGCCGACAGCTGGAACTCCCAGAGGCCAACGAAGATGCCGATGTCTCGCAGTTCGCAGCCCCGAGCGACGGCGAGGTCTCGTCTGATCTTACATCGACGTCGCTTCGCCGAACCTCCCAGGAGCCCACGAACGTGACATTACCCCATCAGTTCGCAGCCAGCGACTGCGAATTCCCATCTGATGTAAAGAGGGCGCCACTCAGGTTGACTCCCCAGGAGCCTGCAGCAGTGGCGATAATTTTGTCATTGCGTTGCTTGTAGCCCCCAGCGACGGCGAGGTCTGATTTGATCTGAATGCGACGTCGCTCCGTTGGACCTCCCAGAGGCCCACTAAAGTCGCGACAGTTTCGCAATTCGTAGCCCCGAGCGACGGCGAGGTCTCGCCTGATGCGAAGAGGACGTCATCCCGCTGGACCCCCTGCCCCCCCCAGCAGCACTCGAAACTGGCGACAGTTTCGCAGATCGCAGCCCGCCAGGGATGGCGAGGTCGAATTTGAATTCTCCTTCGCTACGCACTACGCTGGCCCCCCCCCAGCAGGCCTCGAAAGTGGCTACAGTTCCGCAGTTCGCAACCCCCAGGAGGGAGGCGGGAGAGAAGATAGGAGAGAGCAGGAGGGAAACGGGAGGAGGAAAAGGTGGAGATCGCGATGCTCGATTCACAACAAGAGCCCAACGGAGGGTTGGCACAAATGCGTGGATCTACACTTTCGAGACTCCGCGCGGGTTTGTTGCATCTGCGCTCGGCCCACCTAGCGGCGCCTGCGGCGCCGTCTCTGGCGCGCTCCACATCCGCGCGGACCTTCGAATGTCTGTGTTCATGCATTTGTTCCCAACCATCCTGTGGTGTTGGGTCCACGTTTTGAACAGACAGCGCTCCGCGTCTCCATTCTCCCTCCTCCTCTCTTCCTCCCCCCCTCCCTCCTCCCATCATCTCCCATCATCTCCCATCTGCCTCCCGCGTGTCAACCTGTTCGGCACACTCCTCACATGCTTCGTGGCCCGATGGGGGGCTCCACCGCGTGCCTCCGCTGTGCATACGCATGCGTCCGCCCTGACCAGTCCGGGCGCACCCCTCGCACGCTTCATGGCCCCGCAGGGAGCTCGCACTGAGTGCCTCTGCTGTGAGTTCCCCTGCGCCCGCCCGACCGATTCCGGCACACCCCTCACACGCATCGTGGCCCCATAGGGCGGCCCACCGAGGGCCTCCGTGGTGAATGCACCTGCGCCCGCCCGACCCATTTCGCCACGCCCTTCGCGCCTTCCGTGCTCCACCGAAGGCTTCCGTGGTGAGCTCGCACGCGCCCGCCCGACCCAATTTTTGTTTGGCATACTCCCCACACGCTGCGCGGCCCCATAGGAAGCTCCACCGAGGGCTTCCGCGGTGAGTTGGCGTGCGTCCGCCCGGCCCATTCCGGCGCACCGTTCGCACGCTTCGTGGCCCCAGTGGGGAGCTCCACCGAGGGCCTCCGTGCTGAGTTCGCGCGCCCCCGCCCGACCAGTGTCGGCCCACCCCTCCCACATCTCGTGGCTCCACAGGAAGCTCCGCCGAGAGCCCCGTGGTGAGTTCGCACGCGCCCGCCCATTTGGGCACACTTCTCACGCGTTTCGCGGCCTCATTGGAAGCTCCACTGACTGCCTTCGCTGTGAGTTCGCATGCGTCCGCCCGACCCATTCGGCACGCAATTTCACGTTTCGTGGCCCCCACAGCGAGCTCCACCGGGTGCCTCCGTGGCGCGGGGTCCGCATGGCGCCACCGCGCCAATGTTGGCACGCTCCTCACGCGCTTCGTGGGCTCCAGGCGGAGTTCCAACGAAGGCCCCAGTGGCTGGGCTTGCATGGCGTGCCCGCGCCCGATTCGGCGCACCCCTCAGGCGCGTCGTGGCCCCATAGAGAGCTGCCCCTCTTTCGTCCCACCTGCCGAACGGTACAGTCGGACCAAGGTATAAGGTCGAAGTCGGCTCGGGGAGGGTTACCCTAACGTTATTCGTGTTCGTTGGATGTTCTTGTGCATCCTGAGGGGTACCCTTGAGTGATCTTACGGGTTAGGGGTGTTTGGGCTGGCGGAGGGTCTTATCTTCTTGAAGGATATTCTTCTGTCCATGGTCCAGCCGTACTCGCACCCGCATGTGGTTGAGACCTTCGCCCGGAGAATTTGTTCGTTTGGTCATCGTGCTTTCTGCCCGGGCCCCCAGCGCCGTGCAGAGATCATAACGCTATGTTTTTTTTCTCCGCGTGGGACCTCCCGAAGCCCGATTCGGAGTCCATGGCAGTCAAGCAAAACCTGGGACGAGAATTCTTCCCCAGAGATGAATTCGTGAGTTGATGGCCATTGATTGTCGATTGGTTCGCGTTCGATTCACCATCGTGACGCCGTCGATACATCATGCGGCCCACATCTGGTTCACATTTGGCTCACGTTTGACTCGCGCATGTTTGTCGCGTTTCATACCTAATTACGTCCAGCTCACAATCGGGGCAGTAAGTATGTGGAAGCCGTGCGAGCCATTGCAAATGACGTGCGTTCATTGTGCATGTGTGTTGACATCTGATTTTCTGGAGGAAGAGAGGGGAGGATAGTTCAGGGATGCTGAGAAGACGGCTGAGCAGCGGCAGCGTCAGCGGATGCAGGAAGGTCAGGACGAGGCGGAGGAGAGGAGCAGGTGGAGGAGTAAGGGACGGCCGCTGGAAAAGAGGGGGCAGATTCTTCATGGTCCTCCCCTTCATCTCCCTCGAACCTTCTCCTCTTCCTCCTCCTCCTCCTCCTCCTCCTTCCCAGGAGCCGAGAGGGGTCACAATTCCTTGCGCCGTCACTTTTGTTCCACGGCGCGAGGATGTCAGGGGAGGACGGGTGAGTCTGGAGGAGGGGCGAGCCAGGTGGCTGCCCCTGAAGGCCGACAGGAGCTTGCCGGGGACGCTGCTGCAGACGATGGAGCGGTGCCGTGTCGGCCCCGCTTCCCCCCCCCACTCTCTCGATCCCCTCCAGGAGGGGGAGGAGAATTTCTCCTCCTACTCCTCCTCCTCCTACTTCTCCTCCCCATCTCCTCCTCCTCCTCCTCCTCCTCCTCCTCCTCCTCCTCCTCCTCCTCGTCCTCTCTTCTCCTCTCTCCTCATCTTTCCTCCTCTCTCCTCCAGGGAGGTGCACTGTCCCGTTCGCGCGCAGATTGCGGGGATGTCTCGAGCGGTTTGCCTGTTTGCGTGCCCTGCAGCTTTTGTTTTCGGAGCATATGTTGAGGATGTCTCAGGCGAGGCGTTAGCTCTCGCACACCCAAGGGGGCCCAAGATGCAAGGGTGTCTCGGGCGGTTTGCTTGTTCTGGTTGCCAGACTCGCCTGCGTTCAGAGCAGATTCGGAGGATGCTCGGATGAGGCGCTGGCTTGAGCACCACCAGGGGCTCAGCTTGCGAGGATACGTCTGGCGGTTCGCTTGTCTTGGTGGCCAGACTCGTCTGCGTTCAGGACAGAGTCAGAGGATGTCTCGAGCGAGGCGCTGGCTTCAGCACTCCCAATGGGGGAGCCGCTGGGGTGCTCTCACGGGCCCGCTCGCGCTCAGAGCGTGGGGTCGTCTCCAGCGGGCCGTCCGTTTGCGTGCCCAGCGTGTGCTCTGCTGTCGGAGCAGACGGTGGGGATGTCTCGGGCGATGCGCCGGCTTCAGCACTCCCCGGGGGGGGCCGTCATGGTATATTCCACTTTCCCGCTCGCGGCCAGGGCGGGGATGTCTCTCAGGCGGTTTGCTTGTTTGGTGACCCAGGCCTCTGTGTTTGTTGAGAGCCTCATGGTCGCCGCGATAAGGCAATCCCATCATGCGCGTGGGCACCCCAAGGGGGAACCGCCAGGGAGGGGTACGCTTGCCAGGGAGGAGGAGGGAGGAGGAGGGAGGAGGGAGGGAGGGAGGGAGGGAGGGAGGGAGGGAGGGAGGGAGGGAGGGAGGGAGGAGGAGGAGGAGGAGGAGGAGGAGGAGGAGGAGGAGGAAGGACGGCTTAGGACGAAGGAGGATGCAGGAGGAGAAGGACAGAGCTGTCTCTTTGCCGCCTTATCTCCTCTTTCCTCACGCCTGCTCCCTCTCAGGTTTTTCATGCTCAACGTCACTCGCGCTCATACTCAGACCACTCGGGCTCAGATAACCCTGCACTGAGCTTAGTCATACTCAGACCCATACGCATCAACTCACTCACACTAAGTATCACCCACACTCGCTCAGACTCGCTCGTACACAGGCTCACCCGCACTCAGACTCTCATACTCAGCCCACCCATACCCAGACCCTCTCATGCCCAGACACTCGTAGCGGGAAGTGCCAGGAAACTAGATTGAAGTCGGGCGTGTCTTTCTACAGGAGAAAAATTCAAAAAATTGTCCAATCATCGTATAATGACGTTTTTTCCTATTAATAATTTGTTTTTGTTGCGGGTATCTTTTGACTATTTTTTATTTTTTGGCGAAAATCTGCCTGTAGGAGGAGCACACGCCGACCTAAAACCGTATGCACAAAAGGGCATCTCCGCACTCACCCGCACTTACCCGCACTCAGACTCATACTCAGCCCACCCATACCCAGACCCTCGCGTGCCCAGACACTCGCAGCGGGAAGGGCCAGCAAACTAGATGCACAAAAGATGATCTCCGCGTCGAGCACGTTCTACCGCTGTTGTGCGATGGGCTCCATCACATTGCCTCCTTTTGGGGGGGGAGGGGGGGGGCCGTCCTGACCTTCCGACACCCGGCCAGCCCACCGAGAGATCCGGACCCCTTTCCCCCGAGCCGCATTTTCTTCCCGAGCCATTTGCAAAACGGCGCCGCGCCCCAGTAATAGGAGGAGGAGGAGGAGGAGAAGGAGGAGGAGGAGGAGGAGGAGGACGAGGAGGAGGAGAGCCCCCCCGAAGACAAGCCCAGAGGTCCAACGCCTTGAAAAAAGCAAGACGGAGGCGTTTCGCAGAGTTCGGCCACTATAGGGGGCCCTCGCCAGGCCTCGGGGACGTCAAAAACGACGCAGAATGCAAAGCCATTCCTGGGGAAAGGGTCGAGACTTCCGGAGACCCCGTAGTGACAAAAGTCATGACCTCGGATCTCAGGGAGCAGTTGCTCCACACCGTTCGCCCGTGCGTGGCTGGCGAGTCCACAGCGCCGCTGCCGCCGAGGGCCCCGGCTCAGCACAGGCAGCCTGCCTGCCGCCCATCGGACGACGGCTTGCCTCTCTGGTGGCGTCCGCGCTGCCCCCCCCCCCCCCCCTTTTGGCAGTGCGGACTGGTCGCGCACCTGTCAACGATGCTGGGGCCCGAGGCCGCCTGCGGTCTCCCCGCGGCGAACACTTCGCAATGCCTGAGGCCTCCTCCTCCTCCTCCTCCTCCTCCTCCTCCTCCTCCTTCCTCCTCCTCCTGCTCCCTCCTCCTCCTCCTGCTCCCTCCTCCTCCTCCTCCTGCTCCCTCCTCCCTCCTCCCTCCTCCCGCCTCCCGCCTCCGCGGCCGCCCTCATGTTTCCCTGGTCCCACTGGGCGGATTTCGGGAACCCCCCAAAAACGTTTTCGTCTCTTGGGAGAGGTTTTTGTTGCTTCCGCCGCTTTCCGCTTGCCCTCCGCGGCCTTCCTCTGGCTTCCGCCCGTGGAGGCGGCCCCGTTTTGCTTCCGCCGCCCGTTCGCCGCCCTCCGCCGAGGAAGGGACGGCAACGCCTGCGATCCTCGAAGGTCAGGCCCTTTTTGGAACGCCTCGTTTGTGTGCCCGTAGTTTTGAAGTCGGGCCTGTCACTCTTCAGGGGGAATGTTCAAAAATAGCCAAAACATAGTCGGGTGACGATCTCTCTACTATGTTTGAACATTTCGGGGGTATGTTTGGGTATTTGCAATTTGTCGTCCAAAATCCGCCTGTAGGGGGACATGCCCGACCTAACCCTCGTTCCGGCGCGGCCCGCTGGTGAGCCGAACGCGAGGGCGTCCGCCTGCACGAGTGGAGGTGGCGATCTGTTGTTGCCCTCATGGCGCGCGGCGGTCGCTGCCCAGGCGAACCTCCCCCCTCTGGCGACGATCGCACGTAGGGTCAAGTCGGGCACTTCCCTCTACAGGAGGAATCTTCAAGAGTAGTCGAAATGGTCTTGGGACGATGTTTCGACTGTTTCTGTTTTTGATCCTGTTCGCATGCTTCTCTGCCATCTGTCATGTGTCTTCCAAGCTCCTCGTGCAGGAGGAGGCGCCCGACCTAAACGTAGGGGGGGGTCTCAGGGCTCCTCCCCCCTAGACTGGTCCTCGCGCGCCTGCCACGGCGATCGCATCGCACCCCCGCCCCGACGTGCTCCACCCCGCCCCAGCGCCACCGTTACCCGGGGCCCCAGCGGTGGGCGAGGTGCGCCGCGGGCGCCGGGGCGTCCTGCGCGGGGGGGGGGCGAGCCCGGGCTTCCTGTCCAGACCTCCCTCGCGGCGTCGGACCTCTCGGGGGAAGAGCTCCTCCTCCTCCTCCTCCTCCTCCTCCTCCTCCTCCTCTTCCTCCTCCTCTTCCTCCTCCTCCTCCTCCTCCTCCTCCTCCTCCTCCTCCTACTACTCTCTTCCAGCTAAATCAGGTTGAGTCTGGCTTCATCCCGTTTAATTTTCACGTCATTGCGGGCTTTATTTGGCATGACCTGGCTCAGTGGCCGCTTAATCGGGGCTTAGTAGCCTTGGATCGTTCTGACGAAGACCTCCCAGGAGTTGCCTCCGAATGCACGTGGGAGGGCGTGTACGGCTTTTTCCTGGGGGTCTTTGACCTTGAGCCTGTTTTTGCATGGTCGGGGGGGGAACTATGTGCACGTGTGCAAATCACGCAAGGCTAAAGGCATTTGCACGCCGGTTTTCGTCTGAAGAGGGGCGATGGTGGTGGTGGTGGTGGAGGTGGAGGTGTTGGTGGTGGCTGCGGTGGTGGTGGTGGTGGTGGTGGTGGTGGTGGTGGTGGTGGTTGGTTGTGTGTGTGTGTGTGTGGGTGTGTGTGGGGGGGGGCGAACGACATGCAAGTAAACTTACACCTGGAAGCTTTTTTTTTACAAAAAAGGAAACAAATAACACAGGCTTGCATACACTTGGGAGGGCGTGTACGGCTTTTTTCCAGGAGTCTCTGACCGTTCGCCTGAACCCTGACCTTGAGCACCCTGCGCACGGTCGTATGCGAGTGGGCAGCCGCCTTTCGCTGCGCCGTCTCACGCTGCGGTGACAGGCAGTCAGTGAGGTCGGGGCTAAAATGGGGAAAGGAATAATGACATGAACCCAAGAACTCTGAGGTCCGCGTGGACCTCCGAGTTTCCATGTCTCTCTGATTTTTCGCTCCCACAAGTGAGGTCTGGGCCCAACAAACCAAACAAACAAGTGTCTCTTTCGCCGGGACCGGCTTTCCATCCTGAGTCGCTTTTTGACGGCCCCGGGGGTCAGCACCGGCCCCCAGAGGCCGAAAATAGCGAAAACCCTCCCGTCCTGATTCTTGCATTGCCCGAGGGGGTCTGAGGCGGTCGGGGCGCCAAAAAACCAAACCCACAAACATGCCCCTTCCGCCACACCCCGGCTCCGCCATTAGATACGTTAAGAGGAAAATCTTAGAGGCCTCGCGCGGCGCGTAATAGTAGTATTACATCTAGTCCACACGTCGGCTCCGTACGCCATGGGTCGACGCTCGCGCGGCGATGCTCCAGAGTCAGTCCGACGCAAATCCGACGAATTCCGACGTAGTCCGGCGTAAATCCGACGTGGATCCGACGTAAATCCTGTCTCACATTGCCACGCGAGGCCTCCCCTCCTCGCGAGGTCCTCCCTCCTCCCTCCTCCTCCTCCTCTCTCCTCCTCCTCCTCCTCCTCCTCCTCCTCCTCCTCCTCCTCCTCCTCCTCCTCCTCCTCCTCATTTTGGCTCAAGCGATCGCATTGGCCGCCGCCGTCCGCCCCGCGCGATGGCTCGGCCTAGAGGGGCCCCCTCGGCTGCGGTGGACGGCGTCGCCCTGCTGGCGGCCGCCGTCCGCGCCGCTGTGGAGGCGAAGGCGCCGCGCCGCACTGTGGCGGCGGTGGCTGGCGCTGTGGCGGCGGTCGCGCTCCGTGCGCGGACCGCGCCACCCGCGCCGCCGCCCGCCGCTGGTGCTGCGCGCGCCGAGGATGCGGATGCGCCCCCGCGCAGCTCCGCCGCGAAGGTCGGGCGCCGCCGACGCCGCCGCCAGCGCATTGCGGCGCGGCGGGCGGCGGAGCGCGGCGGGGCGGCCAACGCGGCCGACGCTGGGCGTGGAGGCGCTGCTGACGGTGCCGCCGCCGCTGCTGGCCTCGAGCTCGTGCAGCTCCCCATGGTCGTCGACGTCGTCGACGACGAGTGGGCTGACGAGCTGCCGCCGCGCCGTGCGCGGAGGCAGCTGCGGCGCACCGACACGGTGGCGGCGGAGGACCCGCGTCCTCCTGCCGCCGCCGTGGCCGCTGCGGCGGCGGGCTGCGGCGGCGCGGCGGGCATGCAGGCGTTCCTCGAGGAGGCCTTCGCCGCGGGCGTGTCCCCCGCCGACGCCGCGGCCCTGGTTGCTGGGGGCCTCCTTCCGCGTGATGGTCCACGCGGTAGTGGTCCGGGGCCCGGGGCGGCCGGCCGCGGGAGGAGCAGCGGGGGGGGGCGGTAGGGGCCTCGCCGCTACGCGTGCAGGGCCCTCGCTCCTTCCCCCTCCCGCGGACATCGTGGTGCTCGTCGGCATGGTCGTGCTCGTCATCACGGTCGGGGGTCCTGCCCCGTCAGGACCCCCGTGCGCCCGCGCGCGCGGGCGCGCGCGCGGGCTTCGGGGGAGGCGGCACCCTCCTCTATGGCTCGTCGTCGAACTCCTCCTCCTCCTCCTCCTCCTCCTCTCCCCCTCTCCTCCTCCTCTCCTCCTCCTCCTCCTCCTTCTCCTCCCCCTCCTCTCCTCCTCCCCCTCTCCTCCTCCTCCTCCTCCTCCTCCTCCCTCCTCCTCCTCCTCCCTCCTCCTCCTCCCCCTCCTCCTCCTCCTCCTCCTCCTCCTCCTCCTCCTCCTCCTCCTCCTCCTCGGATTTCCCTCCTCAGGTGCGGGTGGACCCGGCACACGACCGTGCCGGCCTTCCTCCCAGAGCCGGAGCCGCCCGCGTGCGGCGGCGCCGCCGCCGCGCCGCCGGCGCAGGCGGCTCGACCTCTTGCGTCTAGGCCTCCCAGATGGGGTCGGAGGATCGCGCCGCATCGGCGATGCATCGCTGATGCGGCTGGATATGGAGCCCCATTTCCTTCACGTCGACGTCGTCGGTGCATCGCCCACGTTGACGATGCATCGCTGGTGCATCGCCGATGCTCCGGAGGCTCAGAGGAGGAAAACCCATACAGGCGTAAAACAAAAATCTGGACGCGCGGTTTTTCGCTATGTCCAGCATTGGGGGGGGCTCTTGCTGGACCCCGGGGCCGTCAAAACACGACTCAGGATGAAAAGCCGGTCCTGGGGAAAGTGTCGAGGCTTCTGGGGGCCCCGCATTGGAAAATCACGACATCGGATCTCAGGGCGCAGGCGGCGCCCTTTTGCGGGCGGTCGCACGCGGGGGGTCCGGAGGCTCAGAGGAGGAAAAGGTACCCATTCTCAGCATCGTTTGAATGGGAAATGCCACGCGGCCTTCCGCCAGGGCCTTGGGCGGAGCTCCCAATGTGGCCACGACGCGAATGCTGCGCTATCGGATCAGTTTTGAAACAATTGCGGGTCCGCCTGGAACCATCCGATGGATTTGGGCCCCTCATGTGGGGGAGTGGGAAAAGGGGGCCCGCGTGGTCTCCTGTCGCGGGGGGTGCAGATTATACCCCTCGAAGCCCGAATGGGACAGCCGACATCCTCATCCAGGAGCTGATTTGGCTAGTGGGGCCAAGGCCATGCCACTGGAGATGGGGATCGGGCGCCCTTTGCGGGCGGTCGCGCGCGGGGGCTCTGGAGGCTCATGGGAGGGGGCCCATGGGAGGGGGCCCATCGGGGGTGGACAGACCTCCTAACAGTGACACGTCGATTAGTGAATTGTCCGTTTTCGGTTCTCGAGAGGGCGCCGCGGCCGTTATTTTCTAGGCTTGCGCCCGCCAGGTTTGGGCCCGAGGTCGTTTTCACTAAACCACGTTTTACTAAAGGGAGGTCTGTCCATCCCCGAACCCAGAGATCCAGCGTATTGGAAGAAGCAAGACGGAGGTGTTTCGCAAAGTTCGGCCCCTGGGGGCCCTCGCCGGGCTTCGGGGGCATCGAAAAAACGACTGGGGATGGAAATCCGGTCCTGGGGAATGGGTCGAGACGTCTGGGGACTCCGTAAGACAAAAAAGCACGACATCGGATCTCGGGGAAAGGTGCCTATACCTCGGAGAGGAGGACAAGGTACGAGCCAGTCTGCTTTTCTAGATTCGGGCAAGTTTACTTGCATGGCATTCGCCCCCCCTCCCCCCCCCTCGCCCCTCTTCGGACGAGCATTGGCGTGCAATTGCCTTTCGACTGACGCGATTTCCGCACAAGGAGATCTTTTGCAGCTTACTTCAGGTTCAAGCCCGCCCCCCAAAAAGGAAACTCATACCTCGGAGAAGAAACAACGCCATAAACGTATACTTTTGGCGCTCCGCGCGGATTTCTCGGATCCGCGCCGGGCCCCCTCCCCGCGGCGGCGCCCCCAGCGCCGCCCCTGGCGCGCTCCGCGCGTGGCAAGCTCCGCGCGCCAGGGAGGGCAGATCCAAGAAACCCGCGCGGGCCGTCGAGCGTTTATATGTGTGGCGTTTTCTCTCCCTCTGATACCGCTGCCCTTCCCTCGTTTTCCGCTTTTTGGGCCTCCTGGGAGGCCCTCGTCGCCACCGCTGGATTCGCTTCGAAATCCAGGGCAGAAGGCACCCCAGGAGAGGTCCAGGGAGTAGCCGTATGGGTATTTTTTAGTTTTCCCAGAGGCTAGGATGTCGGCGCAACGGAAGGGGGGGGATAGGCTCAGTGTTAAGTCGGGCCTGTCCCTCTACAGGAGGAATGTTCAAAAATAGTCAAACAAGAGTCTGGGGACGATGTTTTTTCCTCGTATTTTTGAGCATGCTTTGAATATTTGTGTGGTATTTTTTATTTTCGTCCAAAATCGGCCTGTAGGGGGACAGGCCCGACCTAACGATAGGGCTTGATTACCCCCCCCCCCCAGGAACGCGCGGATGCGGCATCGGGGGCTCACCGCCGCTGCATCGGCAGCGCGTCGCCGATTACAGGTCGATATTCCCCCACCCCCTTGAGCCTATCCCTCCCTAGCGTTAAGTCGGGCCCGCCCCTCTACAGGAGGAAAATTCCCAAATGGTAACACAAATAGTCTGGGGACGTTTTTAAAATACTACTTTTGAAGATTGTTGGGGATATTTTTGGGCTGTTTTTTTAAATTTTGCGTGCAAGATCCGCCTGTAGGGGGACACGCCCGACCTAACCCTAACGTTGCCCCCTACGCCTGAGGTTGGGATGCGACTCCCAGGGGGTTCAAGTACGGCATCGGCGCGCTGGTATTATCCGCGGCCTGGAGCCGGCACAATCCTGGGCAATCCCGCCTACTGCGGCTTATCCCGTGGCATGATACCATGTACGCAATCTTGGGCAATGGGGCCCAATCCTCGGCCTCATCCGCGCTAGTCTGGCTCAGTGGCCTCTCGATCGGGCTTTCAGTCGTTCGAAACGAAGATCTCCCAGAAGTTGCCTCGTAATCCAGGGACCGTCAGCGATCTCATGGCGCCTGGCACCTACCAGCCGAGGACGTTTGTGGCCAACCAGAAATTCAATTCAGTTGCCAAAAAACGTGTCCGAAAGCGTGGCCGAAAACATCTTGCAATCGAAACTGTGACCGAAGATGAAATTCGCATTGGCTTTAAATCCAACAAGTCGGCAACATTCGGGCGCGTTCCGTTCATTTCGGGTGCCAGTTTCGGTCACGCTCACGCTACAGACGAGGCTGCGCGAGAGATCGGCTCGGGATGAGAAAAGGCCAGTCACGGGGAAGAGGTGCACAGCTTGGTGTGTCCACGTTGCGACAAAGATCGCGATGTCGGGTTCTAGCACCTCCTCCTCGAGATTCGAGGATCGAGGGTTTGGGACCCTGCTGCCCGTCCAGTTCCTCGCCCCCCCCTCTCCCTCCAACACCTCAGACGCTGTGATTTCACGTTGCCAATCGTTTGGTGGTCGCAGGGCCGCAGCGCGAATGAGCGAGCACGGAGCAACAAGGAGAAGCGCAGCAGAACTCGCGGCAGCAACCGGGCTTACGTTGCTCCCATCGTATTCAAGGACCACATCCCAGAAATGATTTCGATCACCCAGAAAAGTATCGCAACGGTGTCGAAGGAGTATCGCCTCCCAGGGCCCGACACGTGAAAGCCCTCCGAGTTCGGTGCTTTCCTGGTGCTCGACATTTCTCCTGCTGGTCAAGGCTAAGGTAGGTTGGAACATCAGAAAGCCAGGCAAGGAAGACGTGGGCCGCACGGTGCCGCTGTCCAGCACATCTCAACGCCCACGTCGACGACTCTCACCTCTGCGCCCTCGTTGCCGACCACCACACGGCCAACTGGATGACCGCCAAGGGCACCGACGCATACGTGATCCCTCGCACCAGTACCAGGCCAGGGGTGCCATACTCCGACGCGGCTTTCAACATGCATTTCTCCCTAGTGCTTCAGGCCATCGCCGACGACGCTGAAGGGGCAGAAGACGGTGAGAGCGGCCACCACATCCGCCCCTGCGACAACCCGCTCTTCTCTACGGCCCCTCATCAAGGCGGCAAGCTGACCAACATGTCCTTCGTCGACGACCTCACCGACTTCAACTCGACCACCCGCCACTCCGACATCATTGACATTACAAGAACTTCAGCCGAACGTCTATGCCGTACAGCCTTTACCTACGGGCTCAAGCCACACCCAGACAAGACCAAGGTCATCATCTCCTTTAACGGGACGGGCTCCAACGTCGCACGCAGCAGGATTGCACAGCAGAACATTACATCAATCCAGCTGAGCATCATGTCGATCTCGGTCCAGATCACAGACCAGCACCGACTTTTAGGCACCATCCTAACCAACGGCAGCATGGGCCCCGAGGTGCAGAATCGCATGCGACGAACCGACGCTTCGGCACGAGCTCTTGAGAGGCAAATCCTAAGACGTCGACGCCTACCCCGCAAAACGAAGATCAAGTACGTGCACGCCCTCTCGACCGCCTCATTGACCTTCAACCATCACGTCTGGCCAACACTGACCCAGACTGACCACCAGCGCATCTCCAATGCCTACTCGAAGCCCTATCGCACGGCAGCTGGATTACCTAAAGCTAACTCGCAGCTTCATCATTTCACGGCCACCGAAGTAGTAGCTTACACCGGCATCCCCGACTTCGACCACCACCAGTCTGCTGGACGGCTGCGATACTTACCACGGCTTCTACGACACGCTCCTCAGCAGCTCCTCCAACTGCTTGACAACCAGCGACGGAGAAAGGGCTCATGGACATACATGCTTTTCCAGGACTTCGACTTCCTGCGTACATACCTGGACGACCAGCGCTGGCCCACGACCAGCAAGCTCGACCCCGACGTTTTTGCATGGGCTCGCACCACGCCGAAGCACTTCACCAACTCCGTCAACCTGGCCGTCACAAACTACATCCGCGCCTCCAAAGACCACGCCCACGCCGACAAGCTGACCAAGGTGTTCAGACCCGACGGCCCCATTGGTGCGGGCACCACACCATCACGCGACAACGGCGCCAGCAACTTCATCTGCTACGAGTGTGGAATCGTAACCAAGACCAAGCAGGGCATGGCAATACATATCGGACGTGAACACCGACGACCTGATCATCCGCGAAACTGGGCATCGGGTACATCGTGCAGAATATGCCGCCAGAACTTCCACTCCTTCGCCAAGCTAGTGAAGCATCTAACCACGGTCGCCCGCTGCCGACGGTCATGGCACATGTGGTACTTACAAGGACCTGCCCTCACGGAGGAGGACGTGGCCACCAATCAGGCGATCTACGCGGCCAGCATAGTCGACAACAAACGCAGAGGCCGCCCTGAACTATACCACCCTATCCCTGCCCATGCATCCGACGTCACTCCCTTACCCGCCCTTGACCTATCACCTTCACCACCGCCATTCTTCCCGACTGTACCAGCGCTTACACCACCACCACCAGCCCACTACCCTCGGACACCGACCAGAAACAGATCTCTGCTTTACCTCACCAACACCGATAGACACCCGAACGATCTGCTCGACATCACGGACCAACGACTATGCTACAATGGAATGGCGATGGAACGGGTTACTATGACCTTCGATGATATCTACTCTGTCGATCACCCATCCCAGTACGACGCCCTCGACTCGATCCACCAGCACATTCGACAAGGCGACTTCGCGGGAGTGATGATCAACCTCTCACCCAGCACTTGGATCGACCAAGTCGATGGCGACCCGCACGACAGAAAGGCAGCATCTTCCAGAACAACCACGGACCCTTGGGGCAGAGTAAACCTTGGAGGTGAGGCAGCCGAACGTCGACTGATCGCGAACCACCACGCCCGCCTCGCCATCCACACCTTCCATGCTGCCCACGCTGCCGAAGTACCAGCACTACTAGCGCAATCTGCAGCCCCAGCAGGTCCGTCAGTGATGTGGAGTACTGAGCTGATGTTATACGCTACGGAGAATCTCGCTATGAGACGACCGACCATGGTAGACGACACCAGCAGCCTCTACGCCATCTACTACGGCCTCTCCCAGGAATACGGCAATCCCCTCGACGATTTCGTAACCTCCATTTTGGGCAGTCTGCCCCAGCATGAGGTCGGACGGCAGCCTGCTGATCCGACGACCCGAGCTGGCCGTAACATGGCCCATGACGGTCGAGACAGACGCCCACCACGGCAAGATGGCCGTAGCGCTCAAGGTGGCCACCAACCCCATCCTGGACGCCCCCTCGAGGGCGAGGGGGGGGAGGACACGGTTAAGGCCTGACCGACCTGCCGCCGCCTGCGTGCAGGCCGTCATGGGGGTGGTTTCCCTTCCTCATCAGGCCTTTAATGAGCCCCCTCCTCCTGCTCCATCTTGCCACCCCCATGCGGCCTCTCCGGGTGCCCCCCCGAAGGAGGAGCAGATCTGCTGCACTTAAGGCCCCTTAAGTGCAGCGGGCTGTCTTGGCCTCCGGGGACCCCCCCGAAGGAGGAGCAGATCCGCTGCACTTAAGGGCCCCTTAAGTGCAGCGGGCTGTCTTGGCCTCCGAGAGCCCCCCCCCCCCCAAATTTTTCTCGGCCCTTTTCGGCCCCCGCCCCTCCCCTTGCGAAGCCTTGGCGGCTTTCCCCTTGTCCTCCTGGCGGGGGTCTGTGTCGGGGGGTGGCCCCCCCTACGCGCTTCGGGCGCGCGCGCGTAGCTCGGGCCGCGCGGACGGCTGCGTCCGACAGGACATCGAGCCGATAGCGATAGCGATAGCGATAGCCGCACGGTGCGCAGATACCCATGGCACGCATGCCCCCTGCCCTTGCTCGAGGGAGGGCGAGGGCCAGGCGAGGCGGAGCGAGGAAGAGTGGCGGGCTCTTGGGGCCCCCCTGGCCACCGGGGCGGCGCGGGAGGCGCTGCCCATGGGCCCCCGCGCCGGTCCGAGGAATCCGCGCTGGCCTCCGAGTGCCTTGAGGTAGGTTTCGGCGGCGAGCGAGGGGGGGAAGTGAGAAGGAGAAGGGCTTCTCAGAAGGCGGTGGGACTTCTCAGAAGTCCTTGCGGCTTCCGAGAAGTTTTTTGTGTCTTCGGGGAAGGCTTAGAAAACTTCTCAGAAGTGCGGGGGACTTCCGAGCCTTCTGAGAAGGCCCGCCCCTTCTCACTTCCCCCCCTGGCTCGCCGCCTAATGTTGTCGCTTCTGGCCGTGCTCCCGGTCCCCATCCCGAGCGCAGTCAAGATCTCAGCACGGAGCCCTCGATGGTGGCGACCCACGGCGAGCAGCCAGTCTCGTAGACGGTCTGGTCGCTCCGATGTTCCCTTCGGTTTCTCTCCACCCCTTCAAACGCCACGCCACTCGCTCTCTCTCTCTCTCTCTGTCTCTCTCTTCCACTCCCCAACCCTTGCGTTGTAATCCCGGCGCGCATGAGCACAAGACGCGGCCATCGTAGGCACGTCAATGGAACTGCTGGCGTGTGCCCCTGTGGGGTCGGTACTACACTAAACCCGCATGGTGAGGATGATCGTCTTCCCAAAGGTACCCTCGAATCCTTGCCTCCTCGGCCACCGTCGGTGCATCCTCGACCACTTTGATGGCCAGCCCCGCTCGACGAGCCTCGGCATGGGCGTTCAAGGCCTTTGCATCCTTCTCGCGCATCTTTACTAGATGGGTCCCCAGACCCCCGACGTCGTGATTTCTTCGCAATTTCGACTCCCAGAGGTCTGGACCCAATCCCCGGGACCGGTTTTTCATCCTGAGCCATTTTTTGACGGCCCCGAGGCCCAGGAAGGGTGCCTGGAGGCCGAAGCAAACTTCCCGTCGCGTTTCTGTTCCCGACTCGAGGGGCGCGGGGTCGACTGGCCACCACTGCGCGAGCAGGTCTAGGAAGGTGGTGCCCCCCCCCCAGCGGGTCGGGAGGGACGAAAGGCCAGGTCTCACCCAACGCCCAGCTGGGGCACAAATCCCAGGGCAAAAGAAGTTGTCTTTGAGTGTGTACGTCACTCGCTGCAATCTGGCACGAGCCACGTGCATCGCCCCCCTGATAGCATGGCGCATATATATATATATATATATATATATATATATATATATATATATATATAAAGATATATCTAGCATCCGCGCGCGTCACAGAAACGATGTGACGAGGTCATCCGTGCTCTTGGGGCGGCTGCGTGAGCTCTGCGGGCCTCCTCGCGGTGGAGCTCGGCTCCGATGGTTTTCTTCCTGCGCGGTGGGCGACTGCTGCTGCGGGCGTTCCGGGGGCCGTGTTCCACGGGCCCCGCGGGGCCTCGGCGGGGCCTCCCCGGGGGGCTCCGCGGCGCGCGTCTCCGACGGGCGCCCCGCGGCGGCCCGCCGGGATCTCGGCTTCGTCCTGCAGCGACGGCGTTGTCGTGGGGCCCCTGCACGTGGAAAAACACAATGGAGACCACGCTCGGAGGGCACCAACTATACACCAACACCGATCCTGGCCCAGGATCACCCTGGGCCCATGATCGGTGTATATGCCTTCTTGCCCAAGGCAGGAGGGCGTATACACCGATCCTGGGCCCAGGGTGATCCTGGGCCAGGATCGGTGTTGGTGTATAGTTGGTGCCTCCCTACACGGCCACCGACCCGTCGAGATTTCAGTTTCTACCGACAGCAGCGCGTTTTTTCGACCGCCGAGGAGGACAGTCTGCCGTCGGGAGGACATCCGGCGCGCGCGCTGCCGTGGGGCCGGTCCCCAGATGGCTCCAAGAGCCCCTCCAAGGCCGTTCGTGAGGCTCCAAGAGAGCCTCGCGAAGGCCCCAACGGGGGACGAAGATCCTTCCAGAGAGCCCCAATAGGGACCCACTACCCCATCACAAGAGCCCCAAGAGGGCCCCCAGAAGCCCAGGGAGGACCCCGGACGCACGCGACGCGAATGTTCGGGTGGATGACGAATCGCACACTGCGTAGTTCAGGATGCTCAGGCACGCGGCAGCCAGCTTCTCATAAGCGAGTCCAAGGCAATTTTCTCGGCCAGAACCCCACCTTCGGTCCCTCCCGAGCGGGCTCGGCGCAGGCTCCTCCCCCCTTCGGCCCGAGGCGGCGGCGGCCGCCGCCGCGGCGGCCCCGGACCCGCCGCCGCACGCGCCCTGCACCCCGCAGCTGGTGTGGGCGCCGAGCCTGCGGGATCCCGGCCTCCGATAGAAGCTAGCGGTCGGCGGCTCAGAGGAGGAGCAGGCACCCATCCCTCGGAGAAGGGGAGACGCCATAAACATAGGCTTTTAGCGCTCCGCGCGGATTTCTTGGATCCGTGGCGGCCCCCCCCCCCCCGGCGGCGCCTCCTGCGCCGCCCCTGGCGCGCTCCGCGCGCCGGGGGGTCAGCGCAGATCCAAGAAATCCGCGCAGACCGTCGAAAGTTTATGTATATGTTGCGTTTTTTCTTTTTTCTGATGCTGCTACCCTTCCTCGTTTTCCCCTTTTTGGGCCTCCTGGGAGGCCCTCGTCATGATCTCCTTCGTAGCGTCGACACCCAGGGACCGGCTTTTCATCCTGAACCGTTTTTCGATGGTCCCGAGGCCCGTGAAGGGACCCCAGAGGCCGAGAATAGCGAGAGAAACTTCCCGTCGCGTTTTTGTTGTCACACCTCGAGAGGGTCTGGCCCCCAGGCCCCCGACATCATGACCTTTTTCATGACGTCGGCGCCCAGGGGTCGCGACCGATTCTCGAGGACCGGTTTTTCACCCCGAGTCTTATGTTGTTCCCATCGTAGTTAAGGACCACATCCCAGAAATAATTTCGAGCACCCGGAAAAATATCGAAACGGCGTCGAACGAGTATCGCCTAACAGGGCCCGACACGCGAAAACCCTCCAGTTTCGGTGGTTTCTTGGTGCTCGAAGTAAGTCGGGCGTGTCCCTCTACAGGAGGAATATTTCAACGTAGTCAAAAATAGTCAAGGGACGATTTGTTTGAGCATGTTTCATTTTTGAACATTTTCGATCTTATTGGTTTCCTACAAAATTCGCTTGTAGGAGGACATGCCCGACCTAATCCTCGAAATTCTTTCTGGTGACCAAGGCTAACGTAGGTCGGAACACCATAGCCCGAGTCGTTGTTCCGGACGGCCCGCGCCCAGTGAGGGGCCTCCCTGGGCTTAGGTCGGGCCTGTCCATCCTGCAGGAGGATAAACAAACAATAGTCGGGGGACGACTGTTCGATTTGTTTTTAATTACCCTTTGGCTATGTTGATTTTTTCCGCTGAAAGCCGCCTGCAGGAGGACAGGCCGAAACCGGCGAACAACCTCCCGCCGTGACTGTTCCATGACGCGAGGGCGTCGGGGGTCGTGACTCGGCGGCGAGCGAGGGGGGGAACCGAAGAGGAGGAGGAGGAGGAGGAGGAGGAGGAGGAGGAGGAGGAGGAGGAGGAGGAGGAGGAGGAGGAGGAGGAGGAGGGGGGGAACCGAAGAGAAAGAGGAGGAGGAGGAGGAGGAGGCCTTCTCAGAGGGTGGCGGGGCTTCTCAGAATCGCTCGAGCCTTCCGAGAAGTTCGAACAACAGAAACGCCATGAACATAAGCTTCTGGCGGTCCGCGCGGGTGTCTTGGATCCGCGCATGGGCCCCCCGGCGGCGCCTCCGTCGCCGCCCCCCTGGCGCGCTCGGTCCAGCGCAGATCCAAATCCGCGCGGAGCGTCAAAAGTTTATGTGTATGCCGTTTTTGTTTCTTCTACCCTCGCGCCGTCTGTGAGGCTTTCGCTGCCTTCGGGGAGGGCCCAGAACACTTTTTGCAGAAGGCCCGGGGAACTCCGAGCCTTCTGAGGAGCCCCCCCCATGCCTCGGGGTGGCTCATTCTTGAAGCACCGGGTCCCTGGATCTCATCGCCTCTGTACAGTACCAGAGTCAGGCTGGGCACCCGAGGCATTTCTCGGCGGCAAGCGAGGAGGGATATGAGAAGGAGAAGGCTTTCTCAGAAGGCCGCGGGGCTTCTCAGAATCGCTCGTGCCTTCTGAGAAGTTTCCGCTGCCTTCGGGGAGGACCTTCGAGCACTTCTCTCAGAAGGCCGGGCGACTTCCGCGCATCCTGAGGAGGCCGGCCCCTTCTCGCTCCCCCCCTCGGGCTCGCCGCCGAGTGCCCAGACCCCGGAGGTCGTGATTCGTTTCATGACGTGACCCTCAGAGGTCCGGACCCCTTCCAGAGAATGGTTTTTCACCCCGAGCCGTTTTGTTGACGGTCTCGAGGCCCAGCGAGGCCCCTTGGCGGCCAAAAGTAGCGAAACACCTCCCGTCGTGATCTTTGTCACAGCGCGCGGGGGTCTGGGTATTGGGGTCGTGGACACAGTCACGACGGGTAACGTTTTGGCTGTTTCACTGGGGGGAAGCCTCTCCTGGCCTTCAGTCGGGCGTGTCCCGCTACGGGGGGAACATTCAAAACTCAGTATTAAAAATAGTCAGGGGACGATTTGTTGAAGCACGTCTTGATGAGTTTTGAACATCGATGGGCACTTTTTAAGATTTTCTGTCCAACATCCGCCTGCAGGGGGACCTGCCCGACCGGATCCTGGCCCCCGGGGCCGCCAGGAGGCGGCCCGGGCTGGGACGGCGGGCCCGCGAGCCCTGCAGCGGCAGCACGCAGAGGGGGGGCATACGGGGAGGGGGGGGAGAGGCTTCTCAGAGGCACCCCCTGCTCCTCAGAGGGCGCGGGCCCTCTCTGCAGACGCGAGGCCGAGGCCTTCTAAGAAGCAGGGGCGCTTCTAAAAGAAGCCTTCCCCCCCTCCCCCTATGCCCCCCCTCTGGAGAAGAGGCTGATCTGGAACCGGAGCCGGTCGCGCCGGTCGCGCCGGTCGCGCCGGTTGCGCCGGTCGCGCCGGTCGCGCCGGTCGCGCCGGTCGCGCCGGTCGCGCCGGTTGCGCCGGCTGCGCCGGTCGCGCCGGTTGCGCCGGTCGCGCCGGTCGCGCCGGTCGCGCCGGTCGCGCCGGTCGCGCCGGCTGCGCCAGCTGCGCCGGTCGCGCCGGTTGCGCCGGTTGCGCCGGTCGCGCCGGTCGCGCCGGTCGCGCTGGTTGCGCCGGCTGCGCCGGCTGCGCCAGCGGCGCCGGCTGCGCCAGCGGCGCGTCGATTGTGATATCAACACAGACATCACAGTCGTCATGTCGCTCTCCCGTCGTGTCCCGTGGGTGGTGTCATGATCTCGTGGCGTGGCGTGGCGTGGTGTGGGGTACGGTGTGATGTGGCGTGATGTTGTGTGGCGTGGTGTGTGGTGTGGTGTGTGCGTGTGTGTGGTGTGGTGTGGTGTGTTGTGTGTGTGTGTGTGTGCGTGTGTGTGTGCGGTGCGGTGTGGTGCGGTGCGGTGCGGTGCGGTGCGGCGTGGTGTAGTGTGTAAGTGAGGTCGGTTGCGACACCATCACAGAGATCGCACTTGCCATGTAGGTGCCCCATGGGAGGTGTCATGAGGACGTGATGTCGTGATGTCGTGCCTTTCTGCGGGGGGGATGCCCGGGCAGACTCCTGCCGGCCTTAGTCAAAATGAAGAACACGAGAGGCCGCGGGGGCAGGAATGGAGGAGGGGGAAAGGAGGGCCGAGAGCGAGGATACCACATCAGGAGCAACCTTTTTGACATCGGATCTCGAATGTGTGCGTCGCGAGCTACGCCTCGTAGTCGCCGACGCATCGCCGGGCCGGCCCGTCGGCTGCGCCGGCGCGCACCGCCGCGGGAGGAGCAAGAGGAAACGATGCGGTACTGCGTGCGGAAGTCGCATGCAGAAGGCGCTGGAAAAGTCCCCGGCCGCACCCCGCCCTGCAGCGGATGGCGCGCGGAAGCGTCGAGTAAACAGAAAAACTGCGTCAGCAGCCCGGGTGTGCGTGCAACCCCGGGTGCCTTTCTGCGAACGCAGCGGCGGGGAAAACGACATGCTTGAGCAGCTCGGGCGTGCGTGTAATCCCGAGTGCCTTTCTGCGGGAGCATGCCCGTGGAGACTTCTGCCGGCCCTCGTCAAAATTAAACGCGAGAGGCCGCGGGGGCAGGAATGGAGGAGGGGGAAAGGAGGGCCGAGAGCGAGGAAACCACATTAGGAGCAACCTTTTTGACATCGGATCTCGAATGTGTGCGTCGCGAGCTACGCCTCGTAGTCGCCGACGCATCGCCGGGCCGGCCCGGCGGCTGCGCCGGCGCGCACCGCTGCGGGAGGAGCAAGAGGAAACGATGCGGCACTGCGTGCGGAAGTCGCATGCGGACGCGTGGTGACCATAAGTCGGTGCCCCGCGCGCGGGCAGGTACAAGCCAGCAACAAAAACAGTTGTGCATCGCTCAGTCTGAGTCTGAGCGCAACGCGGCCACGCAAGCAGAGAAACGCGGCAGCGAATCGCGAGGCGTGGAGGGTCACTCAGCTGCGCCGGCCAGCGTTTCTGACCTCGGCCACCTCGTGCAAGAGGACGGTGCAAGTAGCCTTGTCCATGTGCTGAACCATAAACTTCAGGCGATTCGTCACACGGAAAGTTTGTTCACAGATGGAAGTGTTCGTGCCTCCGAGCAACTCCTTGTTCTGCGGCAGATCAGGGTGGCAATTGTTGAGGCACCACTCGTCCGTGTGACCGGAAGAGCGCAGCTTGTCAGTGATGTAATGCATCTGCGGGTACGCCAAGGCCGTCGCCATCTCCGACTCCGCCGCCCTGGCCGTGGCGAACTTGCGCACGTGGCAAGCGTCGTCGTGGACGACGACCCGCAAATTGGGAACGACTTGGCGAAGTTCAGCTAGAAAGAAATACCTCTGCGACAAGCTCTCGGCCCCGTAGTATTCTTTCATGTGCAGGATATGGCCGTTAGGGAGGCAGGCCACAAGCCAACCGCCAGACGCATGACCCTTGGGTTGCCAGCTGCGCTGCTCCTTGTGAGTCTTGCAGGACACGCTGTCCAAGTCAGCGCTGCTGGATCTGTTGGGGCAATAGTTGGCGACTCCCCCAGACCAGTACTTCTGCAAGGATCTGGGGCAAACCGCATCCGATCGCTCCCATCGCTTTGGCGCCTCGGCGCCGAGCGTCTCCCAATCTTTGCGCCCTGCCACGGCCACCTCGTAGTGTGCTTCGCCGCCAGCGTCGGTCAAAGCCTGTGTCTTCCGGTGGGCGAGCACGACGGGCGGCGCCGGAGCTTTGCCGCGCGCGCGCGTGGCGCATGGCGCGCAACAGTGCGCCGTGCAAAACTTTCGCTT